CACAGAAACCTCTAGCGGACGCACACGTATTGGCTCCTGGGGAGGGTCCTCACCTTTCGCTGTCATACTCCGATTCGTTCGACTTCCTACTGAGTGAGGGTGGTCCTCCACAGTCATGGCCTCAGCTGCATTTCCATCACTGATGGGAAGAACAGTTGTCATCCCACCCGTTGAGGTTGTTGGCCATTTCTCCCAGCCGGGGCAACTCTGGTCATGTCTGACCTCGGTCTGGACTTGACATGAGGGCCTCTGCCTTGCATCAGCAACTCTCCCCATTCTGTCAAGCAGGGGTTCCAGAGGTCGGACAGCCCCTCGGGGTTCTTTGCTAGATGCTGGCTGCATAGAGCGGCGGGAATCCCCTCCTATGCTGTTTTGTGTTGGCAATTCATTTTCCTTAAATTCTTGAACTGGTAACGTGGTGAAAAAATTCGTATATTGTTCATACAGTGTACCTACATACGTACTATGAGTCCGACCAGCGATTGGAGAGCGCATACCACTAGAATTTAAGTCCTTTGCTGACGCCATCAAATCGCTTATTTTGACGCTGGCTTGTCTTTTGACGACTTCTCCTCCTTTACTTCCTCAATCTTTGTCTCCTTCCCATTCTCTTCTCGTTCGGCTTCTTCAAGCAGCTGTCGCAGTCGTTGAGTGGGGATCTTCTTTCATGGAGGGAGTTTGACCAGAAGCCACTTGGACTTGTCAGTGGGGCATTTATGACTTTGGCTCCACCCAGTATTCCCACACTTGAAGCACCGCTGGTCAGATCGGAGCTTGTCAATCTCCATTGGCTGCCCAGCCCCTCCATATGTTGTTCCGGTGGCATCCTTCTTGTTGCTAGAACCTCCTGACCCACCGATTTTCCCTGACGATTGAGTTTGGTTGTCTCAACCAGAACTGGATTGATTCTGGGAGGTCTTATTGCCCTGCTGCTGGGCAATACTGTATCGGTAATTGGCGTCGATCCTTTCGATGTGCCTTTTCCATTCTGCATATGTGGTGGGGCACTCGTTGTCCCCATGCATGATAGTATTCCGGACCGTTGGGCATATAGCGATTTCGATGGTTTCGAACATCTGCTTTTCATCTCTGAACTCCATGCACTTGTGGGCTAGTTCTTCGAACTTCGCAAAGAACTCTACTGCCGATTTGAAGTCGGCCTGTCTGAGCTTCCTCCACTGCTGCTTGAGGATTGGTAGCTCAGCCACTTCCCAGAATCGCGTGGTGAAATCGTCCACAAATTCGCTCCACAACAGTAGTCTCCAATGCCCCTGGTCGTCTCGGTATCGGTAGTATTGATCATTCCACCACTTCTTGGCATCTTCCTGCATGTAGGATTGGACGAACATAATGTGATACGGATTTTGTCCAGCCCGGTTAAGGGTGTAGTACTTGGGGAATACCGCGAACGAAGGTACGCCTGGTGGAACTACTGGAACGAGCTTTATGACAAAGGATCCAACCTCTACCTCGCCAGGTATTGTGGGGTTGCACCCGATCAGGCCCCCAACTTCAGCGATAGCCCCAGAAATCCTGAGGCAGGTCCGAGCCGTCGTCACTAGGACGGTAACAATGGTCCCGGCCATCCTTTACTTCACCAGCTGGGAGTTTCTGTATGAAATATTGGCAGAAGACATGGTTCAGGACCCCCAGTGGCTCCTCACAGAAGGGGGCGAGGATTATCTAGACGCTCGAGCAGGAGGAGACATCATCATGATGAGGAATATATTGGAAGTAGATGCCTGGCATCGGACTGCACGGGTCTGGAATCTGTGCCATCCAGAAGACGAACACCAAGGATGTGCACCGTATCGATGACCAGCGGTGATGCCTAACCCATGGGAAACAGAAAGACTTGAAGCGGGGGCAGAGGGAGGAGCAGGGCCGTCCAGTCCTGGAAAAGAGAAAGGAACCATGACCCCACCAGTACTGCTGCCTGACCCACCAAGAGTGCCATATCACAATCAACTGGGAGGGTACCCATCCCTTTGCCACAATCGCAACTTCCGATCGCTGCCACAACCACTGAACCCTCCAATGCCACCAGTTCCACCATCACCCCCCAACACGCCACCCACATGGCAGTTGAGGCCCTCTGACCCCAATCCGTGGGACGAGGTGAAACTGAAACTAATCTCTCTGCTGGACTTCTTCACCGGCGAATCCTTGGACATTGATCGCTATCTCCATCACTGCGAATTATACTTCCTTGACATTGGCTCTGGCCCTTCGTACTGCCCCGGTGTATCGAAGGGCAGCAGTGGTGACCCTCCTCGTGATCTCGTCCTCCCTGGCATCGGGCTCAAGAGGGAGATTCCAGTTCCTGTTGAGGCCCTGGAGGGAGGCGATTTCTGCTGCTCGGATCTGTGCATCATTTTCTCTTGCTCTGTCCATTCTGGCCTGCTCGGCTGGGGAGATCCTGGCAGCTCGAGTGAGCTGGAGAGACTTGATGAGCGTGTGGTAGAGAAGTGGCCACGGTCGCTGGTACTGAGGGATGGGGACGGCAAAGGCTCTGGGCGGGACTCCTGGAGTGAACGTGGCGATATGGGGGAACTCGATGGTGCTGGGACCTGGCTCAGGCCAATCGGGGTTATGTTCCTTGATCTTGTCCCAGATCCGCTGATTCTCCATGTCGGTGAGGGTGGTGGTGGCAGGGGCCTCTTCAGCGGACTCGTTCGTGGACCCTTTGGTTGATACTCTGGCCACAGAAGCTTCTTCCCCTGCAAAGACCCAGGAGGTTGCGGGGTACCAGGCAATCAGGATGCCTCTTCCCGTTGGCCAGCTAGCCGTTGCCATTCCTGGTCAAGAGGGGTCTGCTGGAGTTGCACTGGTGGTAGTCACGGCAGAGGCCCCAAGGCTGAGCTCTCCATCATCTTGTTCAATGTCATCTCCTGGGATTCCTCCCCGGACTTCATTGATGGCCCACTGGTCTCTTTGATCGGGGTCAAATTCTTCTTCCTGTCTGAGCCCATCCGCTTTGAGGAAGTTCTGGATCCTCCTGCCTTCATCATCCCAGAGGTTGAGAGGGCTTCCTTGGCTCGACCCCACAGACCCTTCTTCGTCGCTTCCTGACTTGCTTGAAAGTGCAGGGACATCAAAGAGGCCTGGTATGGGAGAGTCTCCCCTGTCGAGATGTATGCCCTGGGTATCTGTGATGTCGACGGAGGCTGTTCAGTAGGAGTCTGTGCTTGACTCTGTTCCGGATTCTGAGCTGGAGTTTTCTCCTGGTGGGGTGATGGGTCTTCCATCGTGTAGAGTTAGTTGCGATGCGGCAGGGATTACGATCGTTTGTGGCGTGAAAGGGGGGAATATAATGAAGCGGGAGCCATGCTCTTGCCTCTCTTCTATGACCACAGCAACGCCAGGCCTGTCGAAGGGCAAGTAGTAGGATTGCGAGGGTAAAGAGGGTAAAGGCAACCGAGATGGTGGGGATGAGCTCAGTGAGTGGCATAGAAGTCATCGGATGACGATCATGGTGGCCACTAGAGCAGTAAGGGTAATTGCGAATGCGGTTTCAAAGGTTGGCATAAAATGCCGGGGTTTGTTGAGCACTTTTCCATTGGTCCACCCACGATACGTTAACAACCACGAGGCTGTCCTTACAAGCGCACAGCAGTGACCTCTCTGGTCAAGCGATGGGGATCGGTTCGAAAAGTTATTGGGCAGCGTTCGTTCTCTGACGTGGCACTGAGCAATATGTGACAAGCTTCGGCTAAATGTTAGCCACCAACTCACAAACTTGGATCAACTAAGGATCACCACTCGCACTTCGGTGGGTCGATACACTTAGAGGTCAAAGTCTGGTTATACGAGTGGGGGGCGAACTTAGATAGTCGCAAAACACAGAGTTCGAGTTGGGTAGATTAAACCTTAGCCGAAGCTGGGGTTTAGACCAGCTGAGGCTCTACTTAAATACATGATGCATAGGTTAATAATAGTACTGTGGGAACAAGTCCGTTGTGATCGCACCAAAGAAGCAAGCATATCATAACACAAGAGATAAGAAAAGAAAAGAAAAATGAATAAACCATAACATTCGGGCTTTAGCGCCCATGCCCACCATGGTCACACAAGCGCTGGACAAGCGCTGCTAAATGTGGAGACATTTCGCTCCCAAAAAAATCCAGAAAAATCCGAAAAATCATGAGAAAAAAAATTGTACGTCATCTCAGCTTATGGAATTTACAAACTTTGACACTTTGACATAGCTCAGACAAGGTTTTCCCGCACGAATGGAGCTCATCCTATGCCGCCCCCTATGAAGTGAGGAATCAAGCCGTCCTCCTCCTACTCCTCGACATCGGTGTCTGATTCTGCCTCAAGATCAAATGACCAATAATTGCCCATACCGCGTTCTTGCCTAAAAACTTGATAGGGATTGCGAGCATCCCAATCAGGGGTCATATCTAATGGAAATCAGTACTCTTTTGGAGAAGCACTAGCAGTATATGCACTTCTTTCCCATCTGAGGCGGTAGTATAGCTTTTTTGTCTTCTTAACGACACTCCTAATGGTCCCCATCAGTCTGCTGTGTTTGTGCCCACTGTGACCACATGACTTACTGCCAGCTTTTTTTGATCTTCACTTTGAATGACATAACTTCCTATTGAGTCCCGATAAGCAAACACATCCTGGAACTGAAAAAAGAAGACTTACTTGATAGAATTTCGTGGAGAAATGGGTGCGACACTTTCAATTGTGACTGAGGTTGAGGAAGAGGGTGCTTGCATGGCTCGTGTGATTTTATTGATGCTGACATCATTTATCCTTATTTGCTATATGTGGCTACATGCTAAATACACTGTACTCTGCTCACTATGCATTAAAGTCACCTGCAAAACTCCTCACTGAACTGAAATTTTTCAGTCAGAGTTCAAATTGTGGAAATTTCCGGTTGACAGACCTGAGACAAGGCAGCAGAGTCTTGCCGCTTGCTTGCCGAGGTCCAGCAAGGTCGTACACGCCTCGGCACGTGGCGGGCACTTGTACAAGTAGGCATCATGTCACGCACACGTGATGTGACATTCCCGCGTCCTGCCCCTCTTTACCTTACTTCGTTTATGTAAGCGCACAGCTGATTGCTTCCAGATCAAGATCAGGATTTTGTCTAGCTTAATTTCGTTCACGTTCATTGCTCTTAGTCTCTGTTTTAGTTTTTGAATGCTCGTTTCAATATTCGGCTCAGCCACAATCACCCAGCGGCTCATCTCTGGCTGTCAAGTATACTAGAAGTCCGAGTTCAATATTATCGAGATATCCAAACGTGCCAGCGAGTTACCACGTACGTCCTCAATGCATAGAGTGTGTTCTGAGCATATTCCGACCATGAACTCTGCTTCTAGGATACTCCTATGTACATGGATCCATCGTCCTTTGATCCCGCATTTGCATCGTTCTTGATCCAATATCGGCACTCCTCTCTCTCCCAGAATCGCAGAGCTTCGTCAGACCTGCGGGCCGCTTCTTTCTTCTGAACAAGATGTCTTTACCGACCTCACGGTCTCAGGAGAGAGCTATTTCGCAGGCATAGAAAAGAAGATTGTTATCACGCGCCAGCTCCTCCATTTTCTGCCAGCGGAAAAGGACCTTTCTCATATGAAAACTCTTGCCCATCCCGTTCGCCAACTCCCGGACGACGTCTGGAATGAAAGTTTCAGTTACTGGGCCTCGGCATTTGATCATTGTAAAGATGAGTTCTTCGTCTCTGGGATCCAGGTAAGGCTCCGAGGACACTCAAATTCGTGCATGTCGAAGGAGAACTGCGACTTGTGCTCCACTGTAACAAAAGGATGTTTTTTCCGCTTTCTCGCTCGGCACATGGTTGTCTAGGGCGCAAGGACATACTTTATCTGTTCACTTTTTTGGGTCCAGTAGGGGGTGAGAGGGATAGATGGCCGTCTCTGCGGGGTGATCATATTGAGACGACCTCGATCCTTCCCAGCCTGCGACGACGTTAATTACTGCGTTTCAACCTCCTACAGGATTCCACTCGCAAACATCCCTTGATCTGCTTTACGGTACGCTTATTTGCATCACTAAAAAGTGACTGACATACACGATCGTAGTCAGCTTTGAGCGTCTCATCAATTAAATAAGACCCTTTTGTCAAACCCAATGAGCTTTCTTAAAAGCGACGGAGGACAGGATGGGATCACTTAATGACCGAAAGACGCCTACTTAGTGCCGACAATGGCAGCCCAAGCGTGGGTAACATTACAGCATGTGAAGAGCCGGGATCAGGTGCTGTACCCTGAGGGTGGTGCACTAGGCATTATATTAATCTGGACCTGTTTCTAGTTCTTCAAAAATCCATGTCAAGGACAGTCTTGCATCTAGCAATGAGGTAAGGGTCGAATCTCGCTATATAGAGGGATAAGCCTTTGCTGTACAAGGAGCGACGCGACGCGTTTGTCGATCAATCATGTCGACACGAGAAACAAATGACATCTTTCGGGCCGAATTAATCAACAAGCAGGTCATTCATCGAGGCTAAGCACTAGAAGGGCTGAACTTGTGCTACACTTGAAAGAAAAATCATGAAAGCAAGACTATTGTGAGCTCTTCTCACTGCATCCAAGAGTATCAGAATACTGACACCGCTATATAGGTCGTCCCGCTGCAAAAGTTCTGTATTTCTTTCTCTTTCATGTTTTTGGTCAGTTTCCATCTCGGAAACACGCCAATACAGTGTCGTATATTCTTCGACGATTACCTTCTAAATCCTGACGTCTGATCCCAGGCGTCCAGAATAAAAGTACTACCACGGGATGAGGAATTCAGCGCGTTTTACGCCCGGAATCTGGGGTATGAGTAAGATCCAACACGAAGAAAGCGATTACTAACCAGCTCCTCCTTCGATAGCACTGTGTTCTCGCAACATACCGTGTCTTTTCCGATATATATGAAGAATCTTAACAAGTTTGACGAGCTCGGCTTTGCTCGTTGTCTCTATCTTGGAGAAATCATTCGACGGTATCAAGATATCTTCCGGTATCTGTGCTTCTCGAAGTCGGAAATACGCACGTACGCTGACAAACCGCCACTTTTATGAGACGACTTGGAAGTCATGAACATGACAACGGAATTATATCTCCGGCTTCTTACATGAACGGTCACCTTGATTACACCCAGCGGGTATTTAAGTAAGTGGTCGCTTCCTCAGCTTAAACATAATCCATCATGCCTATCTCCCTACCCCCAGGACTTGCCTATCTATCCAGACTTGCTCTCACCGTCGTAATTCTTCCTTTCGCAGTTTCCTGGATTCTACGAAGCGTACTCGTAAAACTCGACATCCATATTTCTCCATGGTTCTTCTTGGTAGCTCCCGTGGCCCTGCAGTTGATCGTTCGCGCTGCGTGCAACTGGTTCACATGCTTTATTGTTCGCAGAGAAGCTGCTGCCAAGGGCGCTCTCATGACGCCCGGCGTTCAGGAGAGCAGGGTCTCGATTTTGGCTCGCATTGAGGATGGCTTCAGGAATGGGTATCCAGGTTCGCTCGAAGCTATCTTCTTCATAGCCCTCCGTGCTGACAATCAGGCTATCAGAGGAGGTTTTCCAGAAGTGGAGCGAACAGTATGGGCATACCTTTTCGTTTGGCTCATTGTCCGATAGACGGGTAAATGGCTTCACTGTTACTTATGCTTCTGGTTGTAACGGCTATACCAGGTCTTTACGACTGAGCCAGAACATATCAAGGTGAGTACTGGTGCCTAACATTGAATGTCATTTCCTGACTTTCACCAGGCTGTCCTAGCGGCACAATTCCAGAACTTTGAAAAAGGTCTTGTTCTCGTTGGTCGTCTGCTCATCCATTAACACAGGATTCCAGGTCTGTTCATCTTCAATGCTGCCAAAGCTCTTTCTGGCGTAGGCGTCTTCAATTCCGATGGTGAGTTTACCCAAATTAAATGCTCCAAACAAGTGTGTTTACTGATTTATGGCAGGCGAGATGTGGAAGTAAGTATACCCCACACGTTCTTCACGCCTTGGGCTTATCCTTCTACTACCTCCGATCAGGTTTCATAGAACGACCGCGAGGCCTTTCTTCAACAAGGCACGTATTTCTGACTTTGACAACTTCGAGAGGCACACAATCAATACGATCTCACAAATCAAGGCGAGGCTGAGGGAGGGTTATCCTATCAATTTCCAGGTAGGGTTTCAATGACCCTGGTAAATTTTAGCCGCTATCTGATAATGTACCTAGGACGTCGTTGCTCGCTTTACGATGGACTCCTCCACTGAGTACCTCTTTGGCAAAGACATTGATTCGTTATCTGCTGGCCTTCCCTACCCGCCTGAGTCACCGATGGCGGGAGACCCTCATTTTGTTAATCATCCCTCTAATTCTTTCGTTCAGGCGTTTGCGAAGGCACAAGAGCAGATAGTTATTCGATTTCAGAGGGGACCTTCCTGGCCCCTTCATGAATTCTGGGCAGATGAAATACACCCGCTGCGGCAAGTCATAAATCGCTTTGTCCAACCCATGATCTCCGAGGCACTTGACCGAAAGGCTGAAGGTGTGAAGCCTGTGGATGTGGAAAAAGATCTCGAGAACATGTCCTTGTTGGACCGTCTTGTTCAGGAAATCGACGGTAGGGTGTATTTATCTCTCACGTTCAAAAAGTATGCGTGCTAATTGAAGTTCTTCAGACCCTAAAGTCATTCAGGACGAGCTCATTAACATATTGGTAGCTGGTAGAGATACGGTGAGCTTTCCAAGTTGCGTTACTTTTATTTAACAACATACTCAGACAATATCTACATGTAGACCGCCTCCCTGCTAACCTTCGCGGTATATATGATGTGCGAACATCCCGACATGACTGCTCGGTTACGGTCTGAGATCCTCGAGAGAGTAGGTAACAGGAAACCCACATACGAGGATATTCGCGATATGAAATATTTACGAGCATTCCTCAATGGTACAAGAACCATTTCTTATCCTCCTCGTCGAAATAATTTCTTATGGCATATTTCGTCCAGAAACCTTGCGCTTGTACCCAACTGTATATGTAAAGTAGCTTTTTGAAACTGAATGCAGCTGACTGTGGCATTGGACTCCAGCCCGGAAAATAATCGGTATGACATGCTACGCCTCTTTCCTGGTGCTTTTCTTATGTGGCCATTTTTATCAGCACCTCGAAAGTGGCGACGACTCTTCCGAACAATGGACGAGCACCATATTACATTCCAAATAGTACGAGGTCAGTATCTTATCTTGATATCCTTGATGGCTGTCTGATGTCCCGTCTAGAGTGGTGTATTCTGTATTCCTGATGCATCGGCGTACAGATTTATGGGGCCCGGATGGTGAGATAAACACGATTATTAGTTCTTTGGTGCCGTTGATTCATAACCCCCCCAGCTCTCGAATTTGATTCGGATCGATTCCTTGACAGCCGCGTTCATAAGTATTTGACTCCAAACCCATACATTTTCCTCCCCTTCAATGCGGGTCCTCGAATTTGCCTAGGTCAACAGGTGAGGATGCTTTGAGCTCTGAGTATTCAATAAGACTTGATAATTCTTGCTAGTTTGCATACAATGAAGCCTCGTACTACCTCATTCGACTTCTGCAGAGCTTCTCTTCGTTCAGTCTCGCCACGGATGCCCAACCTTCTGAAGGTATTCCCCCAAAGAGCTGGACGCCAACGCCGGGGACGACCAAAGGCAAGGATAAGATTATGTTAGGAATACATATCACGCTATTTGCCAAGGTACGTTCTTTGAGAATTCCGTCGGTGTGAAAAGCTGAGTTGACCTTTTATTTGTCAGGGCGGGTTGTGGGTCAAGATGGAAGAAACGAAGGAAGAAGCGGCGGTATGATTGGTACTAACCGGTTTTTTTCTAGCCTCGATCTCTTTCATGTACTTAAATTTGAAAGCCGTATTCACCATGATTAATACTGTCGGTACTCACCGTAACAGATCTGTCCGTGGACCGGGTTTTTATACCTGCTGATATCTGGCGCAGATGTACCCCGAATGCCAACACATGGATACTCAAGTACTTATCGACGTTGCTTACCATTGTGATATTGCGAGTCCCACAAAATAGATTAAATAACCTCCTCACCTGATATCCCGTGTCCGACCTCACCCATGCACATCTCTGGACTGTACTCATAAAGCCGGGGAAGAGATACCAGACTCAATATATGGAACATCCTGCTAGTCAACGGACCAATCCCAACCATCTGGGGTTTGTCCATAAACCCACGGTCCACCATCCCAGCAGATGTCTAATGCAAAACCACAGCAGCGAAGTGCGGGTGAAAGTTTTCGTAACTTGGAATCAACAATAGACCAGCGATTCTTTTGAATTTTGGCCATGGAGCACCAAGCAGAAGAGGATCGGACGCGAACAGCGATCTCCGCAAAATACGAGAAGATGAAAATCCCGCACTCTCGTAAATTCCTCTATGACATTTGTTCAGTCAGGCAGTCTGTCCCGTCGGTATCTATGTCTTTATCTCCGCACGATGAAGACGGTATAAAAGGCTCGACAAGTTGAGGTATCCATATTATTCTCAACTCGCAGCTTCATAACAATGTTTGCTCGTATCTCTGCTTTCTCTCTTGCCATTCTGGCTTTACCTCTTCTCGTGGCCAGCAGCTCTGTCCCAAGACAAGAGACTAACACGACCGTCACCGGCGGCAAGTGTAACACCGGTTCAGCGCAATGCTGCAAGTCTGTTCAGGACGTGAGTTCCTCATTATCTCTTTCATCTTTCTCAAGGAATACCACTAATTATCATATACTCTTAGCCCAAGTCTGACGCTGCCCAGAATGCCTTGGGTCTTTTGGGAATCCCCATCGGTGCTGTCACCGCCAACGTGTAAGTTGAATATATTTGTTCGCATAAATCGGTGCTGATTGGATCTACAGTGGTCTCACTTGTGACCCCATCACCGTCATCGGCCTCGGTACGACATCGTGTGCTAACCAGCCCGTTTGCTGCGAGAACAACAGCTTTGTGAGTACTCACCGGCTGTGCGACGAGAAACTCACTAAAATTCATCTTTTGTAGAATGGTGTGGTCGCTCTGGGCTGCACTCCCCTTAACGTAGTAGCTTAATAGAAATGCTCTGTTTATTCAGAATTATATCCAACATTCTCCTTCAGGCTACAGCTGGCTATGCTTCCTTATGGAAATTGAATCCGTAGTGTTCTCCTCATTACAACAGGCATTTTATCCAAAACATGGACTGCCTCGTCAATAACCCAGTCAAGGAATGCGATGAGCATGACCTCCTTGCCCACCTGCCCAAGCACGTCACTGGTATCATAAGTCAGTCGTACATTGAACTTGTCCAATACAAACCGATCGAGCGCTTCAAACACCTGCAAAGAGACCTCCTCCGATAGCGACGGTTCCAGTGTAATAGGACGGTCAGCTCTGACTATAGCCCTGTCAAATTTGTCTTGACATCCTTGTAAAGCAGCATGGAAGTTGGAGATATGCTCCGATACGAAGGGGCAGGATTTGCGCAGGGAAGGGTCTTTTACTAGCTGGAAAACAGACAAGGCGCGGTTGTAGCGAGAGATGAAGAGTTTTTCATTGAGCAGGATCCCCATGAGAGCCGTATAGAGCTCTGTATCGACTGGATCGTATGGTGATGGTACCTGCGTTATACCTGTCGGGATTACCGATAAATGCCGCATCAACGAGGTGTACTTTTGTCGATCATATTTATTTGCTGGGTTATGATCGTAGGTATGGATGGTACGCAACATACGTCCTTTCCCCAGAAACGTGATGGCGCCATGATATTTGACATTGTCAAGAAGAAAGGTATTGAAAGCATCGGTCTCGGAGAGGGAGAGCTTCGTTATGGAAAATGTGAAAAGATCATCGGGTGATCTGAAAAGGTTCCAGTTGGTTGACGACTCCTGGTCCATGCCCTCGGGGAACATGAATCCGTTTTCCCCATTGACGAGTTTGACGGTGCATCTCTCCTGGTGAATGCTAGACAATAAACTATTCACTGGCAGGGGTCCCTCATACACGGGATAGTTGGAGCGCAAGACGACAGCAATCCGGGGGCTGACGACAAAAATACGATGAATGCGGAGGCCTGTTCCCGATATACCCTCCCACAATCCAAACCCCTGACTAGTCAGAATGAATTCCGACGTGGCATTAGCCTCCCATATGCACAAGAAATAATCCTCAGCTTGCATATAGTACGCAACGGCCTCGTAATGCTCAAAGTTGGGATCGATGTGGGTCAACGCCGCATGATAGATCTTCTCCCGGCCATGCTGATCATACAACGCCTGGGCATCGTTAACAATCTGTGAATGAGGGGTATCCAAGTAATAGCGGAGGACGTGTAACCACACATCGGTATGTGTCTGACACCGGTGCTTGGTTTTGTAGCGCTCAAGCCATAACCGAATGGGCGGGCCTCCAGTGGGATGATCAGGATTGAAGTACGACGACCCTATATTGCGGTAATGCATTATGAATAAGAACTTCCGCAATCGCTCGAGATCATGCCGTTTCAGGATAGCTTTCCCATCGGCAAGACTGGAATGGAGTCCTTCGATGATCACAGCAGCGTCTCTTTCTAGCACGGAAAGCTTTTCCTCCAGTTCATTGACGTTGCTGGGGTTGCTTGCGTCCCTATAAAGATTCTTGAGCCCATAGATGGTCCCGATCGAACGATCATCGAGGCACCCTGACGCCAAGTCGTAGTAAAAGACATGGTCAGGATCGATGTGTGTCCGTTGATACTCTTTGCGTCGCTCTGCTTTGGATCTATAAACATCAGTTAAAAGAGGGGCCACGTGGTGCAGGCGTTCACTCACTTGCGAGGACCAGTATGAAAACGCCGCAATATGAATCTCGGAATGGAGTGATGGAACTGGTCTCTGGGAGCGGGTGAGGGTGTGATGGTAGGTGCGGTAGTTGTCCTGGCTCGACGAGGCATTGGTGCTGGTGGTAACAAAGTAAGCGCCAGAATCGCGTGGCCGAGTAGATAGTAACGGAGTCTGATGGGCATGCCCTACTTCGTTTCCAGGGCCTAGATACCCTTGAGATGCGTGACTTCTTGGATCCGGACCGCGGCGTCACATATCGATATTGATATCAAAGAGCTATTCATTCTCGTACAAAGTCCATTTGAGTGCGTTGGATCGTATCGGAGTTCTCAAAGTATCTGAGTTTTGCATTTGTTGGAAACGTTTACCATAGATTAGTAGATATAGTAGGCCAATTTCAACAGGTTCGCGTGTATGACCATAATCTATAGAAAAGTTAATAAGCTGTGATGCATTTAGTATGGGAGGGAAGAAAAATTGTAAGAAACGAATACTTACCGTTAGTCATGGTGAACCACTGATGTAACAGAGCTACTATGACGTAGAGATGACAGAGACCCTTCGTGTGTACAGCTGTTATAGATGAGATCAGCAGATGTGTCCTAGGCAGTTTGCAGAAGAAAAGCAGGATGGAGTAGTAGGGTACCTTGTGGTCGGGGTTTTCGGGCCGAAAATTCTCACGAGTCACTTTTCCTAGCGTTTCCCTTCTACAGTCATCAGCAGTGGCGTCCAGATTTCATTCTCAGACGAGCGTCCAGTTTGCGAACATTGGTGACGTCAAACTGCTATACTTAACCATTGGAACTGGTACCAAATGATTCTCCACACGAGTGGAGGGACCAAGGTACATAGTACACGTTCCTAATCCTTGAGCCGAATACGCAGTATATGTACTCCAAGGTCTCCTAGGGCGAAGTGCCATCGGTCGAGATAGGTATCTGGCCTATTTCTCACCGATGTTGCTTTGACACTGACTGTACTTCTCTGTTTTTCAGCGGACAACGTTGGATTTTGAAACACCTAGGATTGTCGAAGTCTTGGAAATCAAGGTGGAGCTGGCTCGAATCACTGTTCTCTTCCCTATCTCATACTCATCCAAGCTGAAATCATGACGGAGTTCTTTCCCCAAGAGCTCATCGATGCAATAATCGACGAGGTTCACGACTTCGATGATCTCAAAGCGTGCTCCCTCACCTGTCGCAATTTTTCCTCACGTAGCCGCACCCTGCTCTTTCAGCAGCTCAACCTTAACGGGAAATCCCATCTCGATGCGTTCCAGAGATTCCACGACCTATGTGTGGTATCCTCACATATTCCTTCCCTCGTGCGGACACTCTGTATCCACGAGTATCATCGTGGCGCTCTTCGTCCCAGGTCCGACATCGTCAACTCTCTCCTCCGATTAATGCAGAATCTCGAAGTTATCAAATTTTACGATGTCACTAGCTTCGCCGACTTCTGCGATGGATCGCTGGCGCGGCTCTCATCTCACTCATTCCGCGAAATACATCTTTATGACATCTTCTTTCTCAAGAATGGGTTGGACCAGATGTGCTCCATATTACAAGGGTCCCCAAAGCTGGAACGGTTATTTGTGCATCATACTAGCCCGTATACGATATCTATGTTTGGAGGCGATGAGACGAGCCAGCCGAGACTGGAGCACACGCACGTTACACGTCGCGGACCTCTTATCCGAGACTTGAGCGTCGTGAGCAGCCATTCATATAGGTGTCCTGCCTTCATCGAAGCGATACTGGAGACAAAACCTGTCCTATATCTATCAACGAACTGCATCAGTTTGCATTTAGTCTTAGCGACATTATCGACTTCCAGCATCTCGACAAAATGCTCACACTGACACCAGACACGCTTCGCGTTCTGTCGTTGACATTCAATTGTTGTGAGTATTTGTATGTGCACCTCTTTGCCTTATGTTCTTATCAGAGATATGGCAGCAAACGCTCATCCATTGGACAGACTTCCTATCGTCAGAATGGGTCATTTACAAAAGATTACTTTCATGATCACACATGGGCTCTATGGATCTTACTGCTTGCTATGGTGGATCCAAAGCCTGAAGAGAGTGACAGCTTCTGATGAAATGCCAGCCTTGCGGATAATGGACATCGAATTAGGGCCTTCGTTCAGTTTGGTGATCCCCGCGTCGCAGCCAGAGTGGAACGAGTTTGACCAGTTCCTCGCCAGCCCACCATTTGACGACGTGTTTCAAACGCTGACGATCGAGGTTCAGAAGAGGTCGTCGGACGAAGAGGAGAATCACTGGGACCAAGGTTCGTTATCCTTGCCGTTGATGAACTTTCTGCGCGACCCTCGGAAGAGCCTCGAAGTCAGGGCGGAGGATCTTAAAGCGCAGTTCCCCCGACTTGCAGCAAAGGGTAAACTTTCGGTCAAGGTCATATAGTGCGTACCCCAGTCTTGTATTTTGAGAATTTCGAATGCTTGTTACGGGATGTGCGATGTAGATAGTCGACGCGATGGCAATTCTGGTTCTGCTATGTATTAGCAGAACTCTTTTTTTTTTACGACGGAAACTTTATAAAGAGCGGAGTAGTGTACAGACAGAAGTATTTGAATCTAGCAACGAAGCAACGAATGTATTATTTATGTGAGTCTTTGAGTCGTGTTCTGAAAGTATATCACCTTGGTGTTTCTTGTAAACATGGGTATATGCAGCAATAATGCCAAATAAATGTGAGGTACTGAGCCTGGGAATTTTCTTCGCTTGACACCTTTCCCTCGTCATCCATCCACAACTTCAAGCTTCATCTTCAAGCAACCTCCTTACCGCCATGGACAACACCCAAATCTTTGAAGCGGCCCTCTAGTAATTCCATCGACTTGAAACATTCTCCCAACCTCTTACTATTTTCTTCGCGTTCAAAACCGAGATTCTATTGCTGATAGCAGAATGTCGCGGCAAAACACGTACAGTTGCCTTGGCATGGAACAACACACGGTGCGTATAGGGTTGTTACTGCTCCTTTGACTGTGTACTGATGCCAGACCATTATCTAAAGAATACACGCACATCGTTCATTTTCGTCACTGCCAGTCCTCACTCGTACCACGCGCCATTTTGGAAAGGCGAACAAGGCACTAGAGAGCCCGGTGACGAGCCTAATAGAAGGGATGACGACCGTTAGGGCCCATCTACAAATTTTCTTTCCGATAGGCATATGATCCAGTTCCGGACCGCTTCTCTGATTGCGAAGCTCAAAACCTACCCCATGGCACTACCACGGAACGGACTAAATTTGGCCCTCACCATTACGATAATCCATCGATGAGCGACTTCAAGCCAGCTATCGAGACCTCCGAGTATCATGTTGAAGGGCCTCGTCCTGGGTTCTTTGGAAGGATTTTGAAGGCAGAACCTGAGCGCGCGTTGTTGGATGACCTGGCACGCATGAACGAGACCGTGTTGGATCTGGTGGTCGTTAAGAGGATTGAGCGAAGGGTTGACTTGCTGGTTATTCCTGCATTGGCCGTTTGTTATATGGTGAGTCCGCCTAACTGTTTATTCCCAGTCATTCTAACATTTGACGCTCTAGTTTTACTATATGTATGTGGTGTTTTACGATTGTGAAATTCCACCACTGACCAGGTTTACGCAGCGATAAGACGACGCTTTCGTATGCTGCGATCTTCGGGAGTGAGTTGCCCTTGTTCGCTTCGTTATAATCCTCTCATTTTCGTCGACTACAGTCAAGGAAGATCTAGCTTTAGGGAAAACGGAATATGTACGCGTGCTCGTTCCGCGTTGTTTAACTCGTCTTATCGTGCAGTAAACGCCAACAGCAATGGCTATCAAGTGTCTTCTACTGTGCGCATGAGCCTTCTATATTCTTCTCCGTGAACTCATTGAATCTTCAGTTGGCTGGCTGTTCTGGGCTTTCCCGACAAATCTCCTTATGCAGAAATTTCCTATCGCAAAATACCTCGCTGTCAACGTGTGTTCACTTCTGCGATACCTATTAGACCCCACCATGACATCGTGATTCCTGGCAGATTTTCTTCTGGGGCGTGCTTCTCATGGCACAAGCAACAGCGAAGGACTTCAAAGACATGATGATCCTGCGCATTCTCTCTGGCGCGGCAGAGTCTACAGCTGACCCTGCCTTCGTTCTGATCACCGGGCTGTGGTATACACGTAGCCAGCAACCCATCCGAATCGGACTCTGGTATAGCGCAAATGGTATTGGGATCGCCCTCGGTGGGTTATTGGGATATGCCATTGGACATGTATGTGCTCAATTCTTCGGACTAGGATGGTTGTCTTGATGCGCTCTTCCTCAGATCAAAGGTGCTCTTCCGTCGTGGCGCTACGAATTTCTTATCATCGGAGCGCTCTGCTCGTTCTGGGCGATCGTCATGTTCACGTTTGTTCCTGATTCTCCATATTACAAGTCACGGTGGTTCAAGGATGAGGATCGGCTTGTAGTTCTGAGTCGTAAGAGGGATGATCAAGCTGGTGCTGATACTCACAGGTCGGTACTTTATTGGTAATGCTGGTGATAACGGTCTGAGCATACTGTAGAGTGAAGCCTGATCAGATTGTCGAAGCGTTCTGCGATCCCAAGATTTATCTCTTCTTCCTGCTCGGGTTTTCTTCAAACATCCCGAATGTGTGTTTCTTATTTGTCCCGGGACTTCGTGGAAGCTAATGATACCCTCTAGGGCGGAATTTCGAACTTGTAAGACTCACGTGGGCTTCGATATTACAACCATTTCTTATCTTTCTCTGCCAGCGGAACGCTCATTATACAAGGCTTCGGTTTCGACACACTCGAGACGAGTTTGATGCAGATCCCTTACGGTTTCTTCATCTGCTTCTGGTGTGTTCATCAGTGATACTCCATGTCGAGTGCTCAAACACACACAGTATCCTATTTTCTGTGTGGCTTAACACCAAAGCACCGAAGAATAGCAGAACCCTCCTCATGATCGTCTTTCTCCTGCCTAACATCATTGGTAGCTGTGTAAGGTCGTCAAACCAACCTAAGCTAGTCTGCTGATCTGATCCTTGGGTTTAGATGATGGCTTGGGGTCCCGCAACCTCAAAGCCTACGCGTTTGGTTGGGTACTGGTTGACTGGGTCGTATAACGCTACGTTTGTCCTCGGATTGTCACTTGTATCCGGAAACGTCGGTGGTCAAACGAAGAAAGGTGGAACTCTATGATGTATGCGGGCTTTGGTTCTTTCTCACTCTATTTATTCTAGCTATCGCCAATGCGGCTGTCTTCCTAGGTCTATGTACAGGGTATGTAGACAACACCGTTAAAGGCATATATGCGGCTAAACCACCGGTGATACCTAGAAACATTGTCGGACCCTTTCTCTTCAAGACTTCAGAGGCACCAAAATACACTACCGGCATTGTAGGTATGCTCGTCGCCAACATCGTTGAAGTCTTTGTTATTCTGGCCTTGAGGACCCTGTTCTTGACGTCGAATAAGCGGAGAGACAGAAAGTTGGCGGAAGGAGGAGTCAAGTGCACAGCGATAGTGGATGATATAACGGATTTTGCGAATCCTGCGTTTAGATATGTAGCTGTAGGTTCCAAGTTCGTTTTCGGGCATTGGAAATTGACTGATGATGTTACAGTGAGATGGCTGTAGGCCATCATTACTGTGTGCTTATGGGTACAGATGTGTTCTATACAATCTTAATCCTTTCGGGTGAACGCAGACGCATTGCTGTAACTTGCCGGCACCACCACGCTTACGAATGTCTTAACTCGTACTGAAACAGCTCCGCGACCACCCAGCCTCTATCGCGCCACGGTCCATCGACATCCTCAAATACCATTCTGTGGTAAGCGTGAATCTTCAATACCGTGCGACCTATTAAGTAGGGTGATGTGACATGGTGTGGGACTTGCTATGTTCGAGAATTCGGCCCGAGGTCCGGGTCCAGCGTTAAGACGTTTTCAGCTACTAACGGCAACAGGACTACAACCATCATGAGTCTAACGAGACCGTCCTCTGTTATCGATCGTTTCCCCTACTTACCAATCGAAATCATCGCGCTCATTATCGAGGGGATATGGGCTCTTCCCTTGAGCAAAAAGGAGCGTCATTTCTTCATGAGGGCCTCACTTCGCGTTTGTCGAATATGGATGCTCACTTTCCTACGAGTCTCATTCACACATCTGCATATCGTTTCATATGCTTACTACAAGTACATCGTACTCCTTCAAACCGATCCCGTTTTCACTTCTAGCATCGTCACAGATTCCGACGGTGCACAGCTCTCTCTAGGCGCTTATTTCTGTCGCTGCTGTCGTTCCCTCACCGTCTCCGTCCAAGACACATTATTCTACGGCTTCCCCCTAATATTCACAAATCTATCCCATATCCGACATATAACACTCCTCTACCATAATGTCAGCCAACAAATGCCTTTTGCCTACATCAGCCGGTTCAACACCCTCTTCCCCCCTAGAACCATCGATTCCCTAGAAATGCGATTCACATACGACGTCCAAGACGCCGATTACTCTGCCCGTTTCCAGTATCTCTACCACTCGAAAGAGTTCTACTACCCCCCAAAGTTCTACTCCCCAGCAGTCAACCACGGAGGTGTTTTACAATCCAAATCCCTCATCTTGCCGTATATCCACCATTTGACTATCAACGGCGCCAACCCGGCGTTGGTGCTCCTGGTCAAGTGTATATGCCCAGCTCTAGAGAGCTTCGAGACGGATGGAGACCCGGTGGTGCTTGAATTGGGATTCGACGCTGCGAACGTCCGTCCGCCGCCTGAAACACCTGAAGAGCAGTTCTGGGCCGATAACAGGTATACGAGCTGGGACGAACTGCCGGAGTGGATAAAGGAACTGGAACCGCAACATGTGGAGGAAGAAGTGGTGACGGAGTACGTAGATTCCAACAGTGACACGTATGACACACCGCTTCCGTTGCCGGTTCCGGTTCCGGTTCGCAGAGAGCGAAATAATCTCTGGATCGATGCGATCAACTTGTGGAGGCTCATTTGGGATATAAGATGTCTAGTCGGGGTGTGGTGAGAGAGAAAAGGGTAGTCATGTTCGAATTCTCAGGATCTGGCTGAACCACTGTCTTCGGTGCGAAGGGAAGCCCTTCTCCCATAAATCCCGGTCAATGAGATGGTGCCTCCACGGAGCGTTCCTCTTCCGTCGCAGCATAGCGAGCTCGTAGGCGAGATACGGAGGGAGAGGTGGTCGTGGTGGCGCTTGGACGTGGGCCTTGAGCGCAAAGACGCGGCAGAACCAACACATGCTGAAATGTGGGGCCATGGTCGCCCTAGCTAGTAATAAAGCGCGTCGAAAAGGAGACACAGACCACCTGATAAGATGAAAATGTCAATTATCTTGTCCCAAACGTCGACGAGTTGGTAACGCACTCGATCACGGATGGCTGCGTTCCCGAATCCTTCCGTGGCTTCACTTTCTTGGTCTTCTATCCTCCTTGTGAAGGGTTTTTTTCTGCCATGACTGTCTTGAGGCTGCGCAGAGATGTGGAAATTGGACTTCTTCAAGTTCGAGGGGAGCTAGCTCTGATATCAAATCCCCTGAGGCGTTCGACCATTTGTTATACTGTAGCACCACATGACGAGAATTTGAGAATGGGAGGTACAGTGTCCAGGAACGCTGAGAAGGACCAGGGTAAGGAGACGAAAGCCAGTAATTGGGATATATAACGAGTCGGAGTCGAGGACGTGGCCTCGAGGAGAGCGAGCTGTTGTGTGGAGCCTGGCCTGTTGTGTGACTGGACTGGCCCCAAATTGGAATCGGCCTGAAAGCCGAAAGTACTGGCGAGTACCTGTAATGCAGGGCGCTGTGGTGTTAATGCATGTTTCGTCTCGGGGATGAAGTTAGAGATGTAATAAATACTCGTAATATGAACATGGAGTCGAGTTAGAAGAGTAATACATAGGTGTACAAATGAATCGAGTGCGACTCATGGTAGGCATGCCAGTTCAAAGAGTAGCATAGCTTGTAATGAATGCCTATCAGACATAGTAATCTTGCACTGTCAGGTTCTTAACCTGGAACACCGCATCCGGGTCATTCTCAGCGATACGTGTCGCCTTCCGGTCATGGACATTCTTCACCCTTGCACGGACATACTCTGAAAGCACAAACCATGAATACTACGCCAACAAACTTGCAGGACATAGTACGTACCATACCCACTGACTGAGTCCTCAGTAACCTTCGTTTCATCTTCAGTCACCAACCCTTCGCGGAAGAGCACAGGACTCGGAGCGGGAACCATCGGTACGTCATTACCCGGTCGCGCAAAGTAGAAGAGCCCGAGACGTTCGAGGTGCGATGGGTCGGGAGGTGGACGGACGACGCGGTGGATGGTACTCTTTATGTATCCCTAAATCGATGCAACGATGAGTTTATAGGTCATGGCAACGAAATTGCTCCGTCGTTCACCTTGGTTAGGAATGATAACGTGTCGGCAGCATTGCAGGTAATGCCTCCTGGGACGTACTTGACCCATTTCCACTCGTTATTGGGATCTTTGACTTGGAGGCTGAGCACATAGTCAGTGCATGTAAGCGCTACGAAGAGTTGACCTTACGCTGCAACGGGCTGCGAGAAGAGAAGGGTAAGAGAGCCTGTTATGTACTTTAAATTCCGCTTTCATGGTCATAAAACAGAAAAAATATACCAAAGTCTATATTGTCCATATCAGCATAGTACGAACGGCCTACGAAACCAGCCTACCTGTATGGCCAGCAGTCCACTGGTCTGAGATCTTTTTATCATCTTCAACTGTCCGAGGATGGTAAATCATCTACCCAGATGTTACCAATGAACAAGCCGCTGAATTGAAGAACCAACATAGCGGAGATGATCTTCTGATGGCGCCTCATAACCTATGACGATCGACAAAGTAGTTCTCTGGCAGCTCCAATATTATCGTGAACAGGACAAACAGTTTCCGGATGACATCGTCCCACACTCTCCGATGGAACTGGGCAATCTCGTCGTGATAAGCTTTGACGAGCTGGTGCTGAGGGATGCTAGCATAGTCTGGTGTGAACTTGGGCACGTTCAGCTGAGGTAGAGAATACGTGAATGGCTGGAACGAGATGAGGAACGAGAAACCCACCATTTCCATATTCTCTTTAACATCCGTACGACTGACGAACCGCGTTGGCTCTCTGTACCCAAAGTAGCTAACCGAACACTCGATAAATAAACCATAAGATAACAACAATAAAGGACTCACTTCCCAACCGAGAAATCACAAGCGAACTTCCTCTTCTCCTCAAGCGGGAGCTTGAAAAACGTGTTCCCAATAGCAAGCTGGCGGTCCAGCTCCTCTTGGGTGAAGCCTGCACCCACTACGGTCCAAAAACCCCAGCGTTTCACCGCATCTTTGAGTTCAACTGCGAGGTCCTGTTTACCGTTGGGTTCCTCGAATTTGGAGAGGTCGATGATGGCGAGCGGGGCCCAGTCGAGGGGGGCTTGAGTTGGTGAGGGGATTGGGTAGGGCTCTAGAAGGGGTTTTGGGTAGACTGGAGCAGGCATTGGGGTATGGACTGCCGGGGTGATTTCACTGGTACATTTTTAAATGAGTGAGAAAAGGACGATAGTCTCGTGCTCAGAAGGGACCTGAGGCAGGCCCGAGAAACGAGATGAGGTGATAGTTGCACCATTTCCTTGCCGTTTTAGCTATCGTCCAGGAATAGTTGCACCTAGTGGTCACTGGCCGTGGGATGACGATGGCGCAAGAGGAATCGTCGATGATGCTAGGTTTCCATGGAGAATCTCGTCGCGATCCGCTGATAAGACTCGAGAAATGTGAACGAAGATGCAGTATGTAGACGTTGAGGGCCTTTGTACAGACTCGTCGTAGCGGCAAGAGACTGAGGAGGACCGGATGAGGAAGGATAGCAATCACGTGGATCCGACGCGCAAGGTTCAAATTAAAATTGAAACTGAGACTTCAGCTTCCTTTATCCTGACCGGGGCTGTTACGGAAACCTAAGGCTATATTCCTTCCTTGGCCACGGCCCCCATTATCCTGCTATCCCATTCGGAATTCTGACATCCACATTTCTGGTCGACATGAAAGCATCCCAAATAAGGCTAACATCTTTTCATCAGAAGCTTCTTCGCGGCGAAACCATATACTTACCCCCAGCAGTTTCTCCACTCCGCATTTCATAATGGGTTTCGACATGAGCTCGTCTTCTGAGCTCCCAATGATGAGGCGTATAAAAGTCCTTCCTTGCGGGAACAGATCCCTTTGAGGTGTATCCTCGTTTACCATTTTCCTGGGAATGGATCTTGCAGAAGGGAGTGTCGATAGCGAAAAGGCTTCCCATGGACCTGATACGCTTTTATCTGACGAAGAACTCAGGAAAGTCCAACGGCGGATTGGTATGTATCCAAATTGAAATCACCCTGGTCTTTGCTGACTTCCTCATAACAGATGTTCGCATCATCCCATGGTTATGCATAACCTACCTAGACATGCGCATCGACATCAACATCTCCAACGCCGCTATCATCAACATCGAACAAGGACACGGGATCAAGAAACAGCTGCACCTGAGTACGCAAGATTGGAACTGGATTGTTTCGTGTTTCTTCTACCCCCATGCTGCTTTTGAGCTGGTCTCTACGCTCCTGATGAAGCGTACAACGTGGGTGTGCTTCACCTAGCAAGGATACATCGTCTGATAGCCTTGCTAATAGACCGAGCTTCTGGATCGGCTAAATCATGATAACATGGGGAGTCATCGTCATGTGCATCGCATCCGTGCAAAATTACCGTGGCCTCATAACTTGCCGAGTCTGTACGTGTGTTTCTTAGTGTCATTCCCGCTGGACTCTGAGCACTTCCAGTACTGGGTGCCGCCGAAGCGGGGTACTACCCCTGTGTGATATACTACCTCGCATTCTGGTTTAGACCAGAAGAGCCGGCCCTCCGAGTTGCTGCATTCCACTCGTTCGGCCAGGTTAGCGGTTTCATAGGGGGTTTCCTGGCGTTTGCGATTTCATATGCGGATGGGGTTCTAGCGGGATGGAGATGGCTCTTTATCATCGGCAAGTGTGTGTTCATTTCCTTTTGACTTTTTTTCCTGACGCTGAGCAGAAGGTATACCGGCAATCCTAATGGGGGTGACGACTTTCTTCATACTCCCCGATTTTCCGCAGACAGCTACATTCTTGACAGAGCGCGAACAAGCGAAGATAATCGATCGGTTGTCTAGAGATGCCCCTTCGAAGGAGGGAAAGACTTGGGATAAGGGCGAGGTGTTGAGGCTCTTTGCGGATCCGACATTTTGGACGTTCTCTGCAGTGTGGTTTTGCCATGCAGTGGGTGGATTTGGGTTGTCGTATGTCCTGCCTACAGTGATATACGAGCTTGGTAGGTGTTCTGTTGCTCCCGGCAGTGAAGTATTGAAATCTGTTGTAGGATCTACAACCACGGCGCTGAGCAACGTACTTTCTATGGCCCCGTCACTAAGCGTGTTTGTATTACTGAACACGCTAGGATGGCTCATCCAGAAGCGTTTTTGGAACTCTTTCCAGATAGTTATGGGGCGTGCGTGGTTGGTTCTCTGTCTGTCCAGATGTAGTTGACTGATCGTCTGGCGGTACTAGTGGAGTTTACCAATATCATCTACTGTATAATACTGCTCACCGTGAACGTGAGTCACTCTCGACGTCCGACACATCGGCCTTTTCTGACCGGGCTCCAGGTGCCTGTGGTGCGCTACTTTGCACTGCTCGTAGCAACTGCAACCGCTGGGTCTGTGTACGCCGTGCTCTGGCCAAACCGTTTGAAGCCGCCCGGGGAACATCAGCCGCTGGGATGGTGATAGGCATTACTAATGCCATTGCACAGTTCCCGGGTATCCTTGGGCTGCAAGTCTTTTCTGGTTAGTCGCGTCTTTTGATGCTGAGGGCACCCCCCAAGTTGACATGCCGCTGCTCATAGGCATATACGGACCATCATACAAGGTCTCGTTTTCTGTTTGTGTGGACCTTTTGGCGGGTGCGGTGGTGTGGATTGGGACATCTGCTGTGTTGTTGCATCGATTGTGGGGAGATGGGAGGACTGGTGGTGTCTCGTCGAAGAGAAGTATTGAAGAAGTGAAGTAAATTAAATTCTTGGGAGATAAATGTATGGGTTTAGCTGCTGGCTGTTCTTCGATATTTCCATTTCTCACGTGTACAACTCACCCAAGAATGCACTTGAGCAACATTGAGGCCTGAATTCACATTTTAGTCTCGGATATTTAACACAGAACTCGAATTCTCTGGAAGTAAAAAAAGTCCAGAAGGATATTTTGCGCGAGCCAAAAGATAGCTTGAGGCATTTTCACCAGACTCGGGCGTAGGAAGTAAAAACGGGAAGGACCTTGAATTCAAAACGCGAAACACCGACAAGTCTCAAAACTTTACAGCAACACATCAACGTTCACCTAAAAGGATTAGGATTATATAGAACCCGTAACCACACAGTAACACATCTACTACAATATCATCAGTCAATTTCCCACACTTGAAAAGGATTGAACCTACAACCCTACGCTACATATCTAAACGCAGGATTCGCAAAATCCGTTATATCATCCACCATCGCTGTGCACTTGACTCCTCCTTCCGCCATCTCTCAGTCTCTCCGCTTATTCGACGTCAAGAACAGGGTCCTCAAGGCTAGAATCACGAAGACTCCGACGATATTGGCGACAATACCGGTGGTGTATTTTGGTGCCTCTGAAGTCTTGAAGAGAAAGCGCCTGACGATGTTTCTAGGTATCACCAGCGAGTTAGTTACGCATATTCTTTTAACAGCTTCGCCTGCATACCCTGTACATAGACCCAAGAAGACAGCCGCATTGGTGATGGCTAGAATAATCGAAGTGAGAAGAGATCAAAACCTGAATAATCTTTGGACTCCTACCTTTCTTCGTTTGACCACCGACGTTTCCATATACAAGTGACAGTCCGAGGACGAACGTAGCACTGTACGATCCAGTCAACCAGTAACCAATCAGGCGCGTAGGCTTTGAAGTTGCAGGACCCCAAGCCTTCATCTGAGCCCAAGGATCAGATCAGCAGACTAGCTTAGCTAGTTTGATGCCCTTACACAAGCTACCAACGATGTTAGGCAGGAGAAAGACGATCATGAGGAGGGTTCTGCTATTCTTTGAAGCTTTGGTGTTAAGTCAGACAGAAAATAGGATGCTATGTATGCTTTAGCACTCGATATGGGATATCACCGATGATAAACGCACCAGAAGCAGATGAAGGAACCGTACGGAATCTGCATCAAAGTCATCTCGAGTGTGTCAAAACCGAAACCTTGTATAATGAGGGTTCTGCTAGTAGAAGAGGATAAGAAACTGCTCGATTAGCAAAGTCCACGCAAGTCCACGCAAGTCTTACAAGTTCGAAATTCCACCCTAGAGGATACCATTAGCTTCCACTCAATGTACCGGGATAAACAAGAGACATACGTTTGGGATGTTTGAGGAAAAGCCGAGCTGGAAGAAGAGATAAATTTTGAGGTCGCAGAACGCTTCGACGATTTGATCAGGCTTCGCTCTAAAATGCGCTCAGCATGTAGCAAACAGCTGATGTGGAAATAACCAGAAAGTCTACCCTTCGCTCAATCCGCTTCACAACTACTAGATCCAACACAGTCTCATTCATGCGTGCCAAGTCATCCAACAATGCGCGTGCTCAGGTTTTGCCTTCAAAATCTTTCCAAGGAATCCAGGACGATGCTCTTCGACATGATACTCGGAGGTCTTGATAGTCGGCTTGAAGTCGCTTATCGATGGATTATCATGTTGGTGAGGGCCAAACTTAGTCCGTTCCGTGTGGGGCCACAGGGTACGATTTGAGCTTCGCAATCAGAGAAGCGGTCTGGAACTGGGCCATATGCTTAACGGGAAAAAAAAAGAAGATTTGTAGATGAGCCCAATGGTCCACTAGGCTCGTCACTGGGTCTTGTCTGCCTTTCCAAAATGACGCATAGTAAAGACGAGCAGTGACAAAAGCGAACGATGGGTGACCTTCAGGTCTGTATTCTTTAGATAATGGTCTGGCGTCAGTACGTGGTCGAAGGCGCAACAAGAGCCTGATACGCACCGTGTGCCGCTACATATCAACTGTACGTGCCGCAACACAACGCAACATTCCGCTGTCTGCGATTGGAACTTGGTGTTGAACGCGAAGAAAATAAGAGGCTGGGAGAGGGCCTCAGGTCGGTGAACCTATTAAAGGACGGGTCTCGAAATCTTGGATGCTATCCATGGTGGTAAAGCATATTGGTTGGACGTTGCTTGAAGGTGAAGTTGTAGATGGATGGAGAGGGAAAGTGTCAAGCGAAGAACATTCCCAGGCTCAGTACGTCACATTTTATTTATTACTGATAAGACCCTCCTAGTTGCCAAAAGACTCGCAATTTGCCTAGCATCTACCAGTGTCTAGCATATTTTCCGAGAGTGTAAACTTTCCAGGGGATGCTCTTGGCTGTCATCTTCATTTCGAAGGAAACCGGGGCTTGCTAAGTGCGTCGTTTTTCTTGCTTTCATGGCTCATCGTCATTCATGCAATATATGCCAGCCGGGTATTGCGGCTTCTTACTGTAGCTAAGAAATTCTTTTACGAAATTCAAAAGTTATGTATTGATTGAGAAGAACTTTACGACAGCCCTTTTCTACCTTGACGCTCCTCACCATGGTGTATTATCCCTTCACAATCTTCATACCAGGATATGGGACTTCGCTGATAGGCGCCAGCGAACATATCGCTTCCTTTCACACAAACCAAGAGAACGGGTCAACGAAGCCATGGTCATATAGCATGGTTGCCTTCTCTGTGACCTCCATCCTCACTCTTGCATTTGTGCTCCGAACAACTATGACCGGGAACAAAGCATTCAGAACTAGCGTCGTTCGCAGCACTGCTGTCGCAAAGCTCGGATCTTTCTGAACCCTGGATGTTTTGCCTGTGAGATTGTGAAAGGGTGAGGGTGTCGATTGATGTCGCTGTCGCTGTCGATGATATTGATCTTTGTCACACAGCTTCTGCACTGCGTATTTCTGCCATTGGTATTTATTAATAACCTCTCTTTCATAGCATCTTAAGTGATGTACTGCATACTCCGATGTTGGCCATCACTGGTACAGGTCATTCAAAGCTCTCAGAGTTCGTACTCGGTCTCGGTTGATAGAACAAGAGCTGTCTGCAGGACGGGTCAAAGCTCGTCCATTCGTTGTCCTATCATTCACATCTGGAAACAGGGAAGTGAATTGAACAAGCGGCTATTTGTGAGTCTCCATCATTAGCTAACTATGAGATGATTGGAGAATGGTCTAACTGAGTCGTTATCAGCCGCGGAATCTTTGTGCTTGTGCTTGGACCGTTGGTGGGTTAGTTCATCTTCTGTTGATAATGTAAAGGGTAGGCAAAACCTGTGGGCTGTTTTATTCCGAGTGAACGGTTTTGAGAGGTGAGATCATCGATGCGCTTTGATGTTCTATGTCTGCTGATGTGTAACATTAAATACCTCCATCATTACGACCACCTCCCCATCACATGTACGACAGCATTGGCGCTTAAGATGGAGAGGAAATGAGATGTGTAGTGGGCGAATACTACTATATCTCGGTGCACAACTGTGTATCGAGCGTTGGAGCTGGGAAATCGATTCATTCCATATGCATTCAACACATTCACTGTCCTTATTGAAAATATCGACACATCTAAGTTCAAGTTGATCGGGCTATGCCGCTGTATGTAATTCAGCTGTGGCCGATCACCTCATGTGTTGTTCTTGGCACTCGCAGATGCTCATGTATTTAAGCCAGACCATAGAGGCTGTCATCTGCTTCTTACCCTCTTGATTACACACCTCGACGACTTTGCCAGAGCAAGGAGCATTGGAACTTGTCTTTTGGAATCATCTACCTGTTGGTGCTGCACATCTACATCTTACTGACACTTAACTAGGTGAACATGGGAAACAGTATGTATCTTTCATCTACCTTTGTGGCAATTCCTCAGTCCAGCCACATTAGGAATATCCAAATTTCTCTTCCAATCGCCTTTGAAGAGTATGAAGTTGATTTGGAATGGCTTGAAATCTGTTTTTTTGGCAAAAGATCTATCTTGTGAACAAGAATCTGGTGCTGATCAGGATGGGATAGAGCTGAATTCCAGATCTGTTTTAAAAGGTATGTGTCCTGTCCTAACAATGTCAGATGTGCCAACCAGCTGGCATCCAGAATCCTTCTCATAATTATCATTTTTAGGACCTCACAATGCTCCACTGAGAGAACCCTTGCTCATCACAAAGCCATTGTTTGTGCCTAATATGACTGGGGTCATTTCGATGGGCAGCTTATGGCCTGCCAAATGAAGATCCTAATCAGCACCATCGGTGCTCTAATAGGACCTGCTCCTAAAAAGAGCCAGCCCAATGATACCATCATCACTGCTTTGACTGAGACTGACAAGGATGAATCATCAATCAAGGTTCCATTGCAGTTGGCTTATGCTGGTGGAAAACCTGTGATATCATCCTCCCTTGCTGACACTCCCTGTGCTATCCTTGGTACTCAGGGCATCTTAGATAAAATCAATGCCACTCTTGGAACAACATACACTTTGAACATTCCATCTCTCTCTTCTATCCTTGAAGAGTATATCTCAAATAACTATGACTTTGGGACTGCATATAGCTATCTTCGCTCAGTGTGGTTTACCAATGACTGGAGCACTATTCAAGATACACTACACATGCAGGAAGAGAAGGATAAAGAAAGAAGACAAAAGGCAGTTGTTGATGGCAAAATTGTTGATCCATACATGCCACCTCGACGTGTCTGGGATCTTTACAGCAATCGTGTAGTGCCATCATGGATTGCTAAAAAAAGACCTCTGCCCATATCACATGCATGGTTGGATGAGGAGAATCGGATTGCAGTGTATACTCCTATTAATGGGAAGGAGTGGCCTGTGCCAATGCCAAAGAGTGCTGATCTTCATCTCATTCGCATTGAGATGTTAAACCTGGAAGCTGAGTATGTGTGGTTGGATGTGCTCTGCTTAAGGCAGAACAGTAGCTTAGATCAGCTGAAAGAGAAGCTGCGTACAGATGAGTGGAAGCTGGATGTACCAACTATTGGAAATGTGTATGATTACACAATAGTGGTAATTTACCTGAGTGGGCTTGGGCTGCCTTTCAGTTTGAAGGAGGGTGACTTTGAAAGTGAGCGGTGTTGGTTTCAGCGTGCATGGACACTACAGGAGATTGGATTAAAAAGGATTATTGCTGGAGATATGCCTTCTGGACCTCTACATTGTGTCCAGTGCATGGGAGCCAAGACTATAAAGGAGAAATACTGATGCAGTTTCAAAAAGAGCTTGAGTTAGTGCATAATATCATGTGGTCACCAACAGGAAGATCATGGGGTAATCTTTTCACAATTCTTGCTGAGATGCAAAAGCGAAAATCAACAAATTCTATAGATAAAATTGCAGGACTATCATTCCTTTGTTGGTCAGAGAAAATACCAGCATACTATGAAAATCAGTCTGTGGAAGATGCATGGACAGCACTAGTCAATGTAATGGCTATGGAAAAGCGAGGAGAATTGTTCTTCTGGTATCCTGAGCCAGGAAATTCAGATGTAAAATGGAGACCAACATGGGACCAGATTATGACATATTTCCACCTGCAGATGTCTCAAATGAGATGCTTGTTTGGTGGGATGAAAATGGGATGTGACTGGCACCATGGACCTTGTATTAGAAGGGGTTTGTGCAGGGGTTAGCTGTGCAAGATGAGGAAATAATTGATCGATATGGAGCTGATTGTTAAAGATAACAAAGAGAAAGAACATATATTTAAAATCATTGCATCTCACAATTATCTCATACCTGAAAACACATATGTACTACTTGGTACTCGGCTGAATCATGAGCTGGATCTTGAGTGTTCAGTGCAACATTGGGCTATTGGACATAGAGTGCCATCTACTAAACAGTTTGAGAAAGTGTCAGTATTTAAAATGGCTGATAAAGAAGCATGGAGATTAAAACATCTGAATGTTACTAAAGACTGTGATATTGTTTTTTTGAGGTGAACATACATTGTGTAGTAGCTTTAAAGTACTATTTTCAAGTTAAGTAGCTATTAAATCTATTACTCACTATATAATATAGTGAAAATGTAAAAATTGTATTATAAATCCAACATCTACTGATATATCTGCCAGGTGAATAGTCTAGAAATTTGCTATTATATTTATTATAAGAAAGAATACAATAAAGCAAGAATATATATAAGTAAAAAACACTGGTAAGTAGCTGACAGTGAGATTTAGTCAAAACAAGGTCTTCTGAGTAAAAGCTTGCTGAATAATGTGCAGCCTAAGGTGTTAGTGACTGATTGAACAAACAAGATCAAACAACTACATGTGACTCGCATTTGGTCAGGCACATATGAGTTGCTCATAGGTTTGTTCTCAGGGAGCATGCATGCTTAGTATTTGAGAGTGAGTTCTAGCCAAGTTATCGGGTGAATAAACTTTAGTTTGAGACTGAGGTTTAGGACCTGCAGTTGAGCTACTTATATACAGTTTGGGTCATGCTATGTATAGTACAAGAGTCTGTAGCGGTGTGGACAACACATGGTACCAGCATAGCATGATGCGATCAAGGTTGGAATATTAGCATAGCAGGATTATGATGGGAGCAATAAGATAAGATATCCAGTGAGATCGTGATATTACCCCCCTGTTAAGGCAGTCATCCTGACTGCAAGAGATCTTGGTAGTTGCATGTATTTTTTGAGGGCTTGTATGAGGGTGGTCAATTTCAGATTCCATTATAGATTCTGTTTTCGACTAGCTGTCAGATTCATCTGAGTCCTCCCACCAGTCTGCTGAGGGTTGAGTGATGAATGAGACTTGTTTGAAGTCTTCAATTGCCCCCCTTGCATTGTCTAGTTCAGCTTCATTTACCCATGAATTCTCCTCTCTGGGGTATCCTTTCCATTTGATGAGGTACTCTGTTTCAGTACATCATCGACATCCTCTTCCTGTCATGCATTCCTGTCGATCTACCACTTCTTCAACCTCATATTCTTCTTGTCTGTCTATTAGGTCTGAGGGTGGTGCCATAGGCTGTATTTGGATTGGAAACTCCAGCAGTTGATAGGGAGTTAGGAGCACTTCATTGAACCAGTCATGGATCTTGCACGAGGGTGGTAGTTTTAGCTTGTAGGCAGATGCGCTGTGTTTTGATAAGACCTTGAAAGGCCCAACTCATTTGTCCCCTAACTTCTTCATTGGGTGAGGAAGGTGTAGATTGGTGGAGTCTAACCAGACCTTGTCCCCTGGTCGGTACTCCACTGCTGGCTGTTGGTTTATCATATTGTTGCTTCATGGTTTCTGCTGCCTTTTCCAGAGCTTTTGCTGTCTGCTCATGTACTTTCTGTATGTCAGCAATGAACTCCCTGGTGGCCGGGTTACTGCCTTCCTTAATCATCATGGGAACTAGATGCAGTCGCTGTCCATGATTTACTTCGAAGGGGGAATACCCCATTGCAGAATGTTTTTGGTTGTTATGCTGGAAGGCTGCAAGTGGTAACCATTCACTCCAGTTGTTTTGGCAGTGATTGATGAAGATCCAGAGATACTTTTTGATCTCCTGATTGGCTTGTTCAGTTTGTCCATCTGTTTGAGGGTGATAGGTGGTGGACAGGTTTCCTTAGATTTGCAACATATTGTAGAGCTCCTTCATGAACTTGGAGATGAGCTGGGGTCTGCGGTCTGAGATGACCTTTTGAGGCATCTCATGTTTGGCCCATATGTGATCTTGGAGAAGGCAGGCCCAACCAAGGGAGGTTAAATTGGTCAAGCAGGGAACGGGGATGACTTTCTTCAAGAACCAGTCTACGATCATGAGGATGGCATTGTACCCATTGGAGTCCAGTAGTTCACCAATCATATCTACCGTTATGTGTTCCCATGGTCTGGAGAGTACTGCATTTGGATGTAACAGGGCCTTTGATGCTATGTGCTGGTTTTGGTGTGTTGACATGCCTTATCCCTTTACATATCATTCCATGTCATTTTTGAGCTTGGGCCACCAGTACTCCCTTTGGATGAGTTCCTTGGTTTTTTTGATGCCTGGGTGTCCTGCAGTGATGTGATCATGGTGTATAGCAATAAGTTCTCCCCAAAGTGCAGTATCTTGGGGGATGTACAGCCTCCCATTGTAGTACATGAGCCCATCTTCTTGCATTATTCCCCAAGGATGATGAAGAGAGGCCTCGATTCCCTTGTCCCACCTTGTAATGTCTCTAAGGGCGGTTCAGATTTTCTGATGAACCTCCTCCTCCCCCAGCATAATCAAGGCTCAGAACATTTCTGGTTTAAGTAGCGTTACTTCCTCATTGTCCTCCTTTTCCTGATCATGGTCTGCCTGTTGGCTTAATAGGTCTGCCTTCTTGTTGGCTGTACCAGGTTTGTGATGTAGGGAGAAATGGTACTCGGCAAGTTCCGATACCCATTGTGCTTGTCTTTGGTTGAGTTTCTGGGGCTTGCAGAAGTACTGCAGGTTTTGGTGATCCATCCAGATTTCGAATTCCTGGTGGGCTCCCATGAGGTAATGTTGCCAATCTTCTAGGGCCAACATTATGGCCAGCAGCTCTTTGTCATAGATCTCATAGTTTTGTTCCATTACTGTGAGAGCTTTGGACAGGAACCACCCGTCTCCACCTTCCTTCTTGTTCTTGTTCTTGTGATAATACCGCTCCTATGGCACCTTCGCTTGCATCTGCCTCCACTCTGAACCTCCCAGTCCTACTGGGAATGGCTAGTACCACTTCTTCTGCTAGCCTCCTTTTGATTTCTTGAAATGCCTTCTCCTGCTCGGGTTCCCATCACCAGTCCATCTTCCTGGTGAGCTGGGTTAGTGGCCTGACATGTTTGCTGTAGTCTCTGATGAAACACCAATAGAAGTTGGTGAAACCTAGGAAGGACTGTAGTTTCCCTTCTTGGTTGGTTGCGGCCATTCCATTATCCCTTTCACTTTCACAGGATCCATGCAAATCAATCCTTGACTTATGATCACTCTGAGGTACTCTGTCTCTAGTACTTTGAATTTGCATTTTTTCTGCTTTTAGGAATAGGTTGTTTGTGCACAGCACAGCTAGCACCTCCCTGATCACCTGGCAATGCCGTTGATGAGGCTGGCTGTGGGCACCTGTGGAATAGTGAGTGGGCTAAAAGGTGAACCTCAAAAACCCACACACACTCACACAACTACACAAACTACAATCACCCTCGTAAGTTCTAGGGGGAGCAATTATTTCTAATGCGATCCAACTATACTTCAATATCTCGAAGAGTTTCTCTTATTCTCAGCACTCTTAGCAAAGCTAAGCTTTCTCAAATGAATTCCTAAGTCTAGGAACTTTTTACAGGAAGGTCGTTCACTGGTGCGACACAACCTTCAAGGCAGATTTGAGTTATAATACACAAGGGACACTGATCCCGACAGAAACAGAGGCAATACACGCTGAAACTTTAGTGAGCTTGCTAAAAGAACACCACAGGCAAGCACTGACTTAGCCCGCTCGCTACACAACTGTATGTAGGGGTTCTCCAACTAACTCCAGCAGGTTATCTCAACTCAAGAACACTTCAGAAGCGCTTGGAAAAAAGATTCAGAAATGGAACTTTGAACAGAACTGAAACAGAACAGAACAGAACAGAACAGAACAGATCTCAGATTTCCACTTCAACACATTCTCCGAACAGACTTATCACACTTAACAGAACAGAAACAGCATCACTGATTCGTATTCACTCTGACTAAGTTCTCAAAAGTCTTATCAAAAGGGTATCTTGTATTTCTCTGAGTGAGCTCGCTAATTCTATGCACAGCTCGAAGTCACAAACTGATCCTTTGTTACAGTACTGCCTTCAACGCGTGCATGGGAACTCGGGGGCTTGAAACTTGCCTCTACCTACTGTAACCAACCTACTTATACTACAGGGGAATTAGAATTACAAACGTCGCAGTACCCAGACTCCTACATGCGTAGCACGTTGCCACCGCTGCCTTACTGAGCATCCGAGTCGGACTTCCCAGTTTTAGTCTCATTTCTATAGTGAGCTCGCTAAACGCGTGCCAAGAGGTGCTCTCCCGACACCCACGAGCTTGTTCTCTAGCAACCGACAGGTCTAGGCACATGGAACTATCAGTTCTGGCATATGTCGTTCAGGACTTCTTTCTTGGATTCACAGAGGCTTCTCGTAGACACGGCAACAAGTGAGTCTTCGAACAATGGGACTCAGAACAATGGAACACGGGCTTGTGGACTTCGGCCAAAGCCCATTGCCCAAGCTCGTGCCGGTGATATCTGTCATCTCGCTTAAGGATTTCCCCGGATTTTCAGGTATGGCGCGTCACAGTTAGCGAGCGCGCTAAGTGTTCACAGTGTCAGTGCAATCTTCAAGGTTTTATCTAGCTCCTGTGAGTGTGCTTGTAAGTTAGAGCCTAAGGTATTGGGTATAGGGTTTGGCCTTCTCATGCATGCCCATCAGGTACAGTGCTGTGACTAAGTCCTGTTTAGAATCCCGTTGCTTCTTATGCCATAAGTTATATTCCATATCATTGCACTGCATAGCATTAGTGTCGACACGTAGTTTTAGTCCGCTCGCTCACTATTTCTCAGTATGTGTGTAAACACTCTAGATTGCAAAATTACACATGTAAATAGGCTGCAGTTGCAACAGCGCGCTAAGTGTTCTCAGTGTCA